CTACAAAAAACTCAATGTAAAATCTGAATGTGATTATGGATGGATTATTCCATGTGTAAATACAGTATGTTACAATTTATAGGGATAGAGATCATATTTGACAAATCAATTAGTGATTGTGAGAATGCCGTCGGTTGCGTGGAGTTGGTGCAAAATGTACGACAGCACATGTACCGTCGATTCAGTCTCCAGTGCTGTCTAACGACATCAGATTTGGGAAATGGAGCTGTATCCACGCAGACCTCCGCCAGAGTACAACTCCTGCTGAATCCATCCAACCATCCATTTTCCGATCCATTTTATCATCACAAGGATCACGGTGGGTGCTGGAGGCTATCCCAGCTGTCTTCGGGCAGTAGGCGGGGGACACCCTGAACCGGTTGCCACCCAATCGCAGGGCAAACAGAGACGAACTACCATCTGCGCTTGCACTCACACCTAGGGACAATTTAGAGTGTTCAATCAACCTGCCATGCATGTTTTTGGAATGAGGGAGGAAACCAGAGTACCTGGGTAAAACCCACGCAGGCACAGGGAGAACATGCAAACTCCACACAGGGAGGCCGGAGCTGGAATTGAACCCACGACATCTGCACTGTGAGGTCGATGCGCTAACCACTGGACGACAGGGCCACCCCTCCTGCTGTATATTTTCAAATGAGCATAATAATAGTAGACTCTATTGGTAATTTCCTCCAAATGGATCCAAAAATCTACTCAAATGCATGATTTTATCAAAATATAGCCTCAATTTGAATCTGCTCAATTTTCATCTAAGCTGTTAAAACAATATATATTTAAATAGATGTTTTCTCTTGTAATTATAAGTATGTCTTTCCAGTATTTGCTAGATAAAAATCGGTACAGCACATGTGTCAAATTATGTGAGTCAGAGAGCAGGTGACTCATTTGCGCATCATGTCTCTCAAGGAAATCCAAACAGTGCAGCCCATGATACAGCATAGTGAGTTAACAATGACATTCGTGTGACATTGAAATCATCATCTTGTGTTCAAATCTTGTGTTTTCTGGTAAACAAATGGACTTTTGATTGGCTCCTGATTAGTAACGCTTGGGATATATAATGTAGTAGGTACACCTATTATATTTGTGAAATCATACAGACATAACCCCAATAAGGAGAGGGGAAATAACACATTAGGACGCATGATTAGTGTCTGTTTATATATATTCATAAATACAGATTGAAAAAAAGGTATTTGAAGCAAAGCTGCAATGTCCTTGAAGAAAGGGGTCACAACATCAGATTATGGCTCAGCAGGTAACATCGTACAGACGAGACAACCTCCTGTGTTCAAACAGAAAATGCACTCTCTACCCTCGGCAGGTTGACGTGGAATCTCAGAGGAGATTCTAGTTGCTGGCCGAAATTGGATAATCAAAACAAAAGCAGCCAAACTGGCAGACAGCCAAGCAGACAGACCAGTATGGTGAGGGGAACAAAGGAACTGAGGATGCTATCTAAATATTTCATTCAGAGAAAGCTGCTTCTGTCGTCTTCTCATTAAAAAAAAAATGCACGTGGCGCAGGAAAGGTTTCACGAATAGTCCAGTTGCTCTTAAAAAGCTTCCTATTTGAAAGCAGTCAGCACCTTTTTGTTTTAACTCAGTTCAACCTAATCTTGCTGACTAGGTCAATGGCCCCGAGCCACGTGGCTGTACGGATGTAAAGGGGAAGCTTCACAATACCACAGACGATTTAACTATGATAATGGTTCATGGTGTCATGGCTATCTATTAAAAGCAAGAGGTGAAAGACTCAGGGGGTGAGGGTGCTTATTTTAATTAACAATTATTTAGCGGCTGCTGACACAGACACAGAGGCAGAAGCAGTAGCACCCAGCAATAGACTGGAAAGGAGGGCATGTACTTCAAGAAAACATCGCTCACTACAAAGAACAACAAGATTTTTCTGACTGCATTAAATTTGTATTGATAACCATCTCGAAAGGGGTAAGAGAGTCAGACAATGCAGCAGTGCGTGTCTTGTCCCTCTGGAACAAAACTGATACAATTAAAAAAAAAAAAAAACGACAAAAGCAGAAGACGAAGCAAACAACTGGCGAAGTCCATGACAAAGCTAAAAGCAAGCAGACCTACCGGTGCCGATCAGCAGGCCAAGCGTAGACAAAGCAGCAAGGGATGAGACACGGGATGACAGCGGCACAAAAGCCTTGCGCTCCCCTGAACGAAGCGGGCTTGCAGTCAGTTTCAGCATCCTCGCTCATTACTTTCCAACTTCATCGGCATCGTTTCACAAACTCGACTTGAAGCGCTCGTGCAAAACCCACCGCCGCGTCCCACACCTTCGAACGAGTCTACATCAAGAAAATGGACAACGTGCGAGTGATTCACAGCCTCAGAAGAGAGCTTAAACTGTTCATGGCCGCGTGCAGGACTGAATCGGGGCGATGCTGCCTTCAGGTACCGCTCGTAAACGCCCACTTCTCCAAGCGTGAGAAGGCCCCTCACACCCGACCACCGCCGCTTATAGGTAAAATTGGGAACTGACCAATAGTATCGCTTGGTTTAAAAAAAAAAATCCATCACTGATGTCTACGCAGTAGGCGGGGTACATTCTGAACTGGTTGTCAGCTAATCGCAGTGCACATAAACAAACAACCATCAGCGCTCACACTCACACTGAAGAACAATTCGGAGTGTCCAATCAACCTGCCACGCATGTTTTTGCAATATGAGAGGAAACCGGAGTACCCGGAGAAAACTCATGCAAGCACGGGAGAACATGCAAACTGCACACAGGAAAGCAGGAGCCTGAATTGAACCCTGCACCTCTGCACTGTGAGGCGGACGTGCGTGGGTTTTCTCCGGGTACTCCGGTTTCCTCCCACATTCCAAAAACATGCATGGCAGGCTGATTGAACACTCTAGATCAGGGGTGTCAAACTCGGGTCCTGGAGGGCCGCTGTCCTGCATGTTTTCCCAAGTCTCCCTGTTGCAACACACCTGATTCAAATGATCAGATCATCAGCAAGCTCTGCGGAAGCCTGACATTGAACCTGTTCATTTGGATCAGCTGTGGACCCGAGTTTGACACCCCTGCTCTAGATTGTCCCTAGGTGTGAGTGTGAGCGCGGATGGTTGTTTGTCTCTGTGTGTCCTGCGATTCGCTGGCAACCGGTTCAGGGTGTCCCCCACCTACTGCCCGAAGACAGCTGGGATAGGCTCCAGCACGCCCGCGATCCTTGTGAGGATAAGCGGATCGGAAAATGGATGGATGGATAATAGTAGATTGACTGTGTATAAAATCACTTTGTACATTAAGCATTGAGGACAGAGTTCACTTGTTAATATCCATCCATCCATTTTCTCATCTGCTTATCCTCACAAGTGCCACAGACTCGCAGGCATGGTGGAGCCTATCCCAGCTGTGTTTGAGTAGTAGGCGGGATACACCCTGAACTGGTTGCCAGCTAATCGGAGGGCACACATAGACAAACAACCACCCACCCTCACAATATCACCTATGGACAATTTATTGTGTTCCATTAACCTGCCATTCATGTTTTGGGAGTGTGGGAGAAAACCGGAGTACCCAGAGAAACCCAGATATGGAGGCACGGCGAGGCAAACTCGACACAGGAAGGCCAGAATCGAACCCGACACCTCTGCACTGTAATCCAGAGGTGCTAATCAGTCTACACCGTGCCGCCCATTTGTAAGTGGTGGAAACAAAAAGGCAAGGCTGATGACCCCCCCCCCCCTCCACACTCACTCTCTCTCTCTCTCTCTCTCTCTCTCTCTCTCTCTCTCTCTCTCTCTCTCTCTCTTTTCATCAGTACATATCATCAGTAGGATTTATTTAGTTTGCAGCTGAAACAATATCCACGAGGAGATGTAAGAGAGTAGCAACTTGTCTGGCTCTAATCTCTGAAGACAATACCGTCTCTACGTATTTCTGCTTCATCGTTTAAACTCTTTTCAGAGGATGCAACACTTTTGGTGAGTAAGTCAGCCTTAACTGCTCGGACATCTTAAATTGTGAACGTGATCTTGGGTAAAACGTCTAATTTTCTTTACCTTCCCGTGTGAATTCCAGAACTGAAGTTTCATTCCGGGCCAGAAACCACCAATTTGCCCTCTGCTCAATAAACAAAATTAATTCTTCTTTCATTACACACTTTTAAGACAGACAGCAAGGAGCTGCAGTTGCTTGCGGCTTGTTTGTTGTGGTTGCTTGCAGCTGACTTCTCGCGAGACACGGCGGACGAATCATGACTTAAGACGTCATGTGATGTACTCTTTCGCTCCCGCCCCTTTTTTCTGTTGCGCTCTAACGAACAAAATAAAAGATTGTACTGTAATGCAATTCTTTTAAATAAATCTTCCGTAGCTATGAAACAAAAATCCACCAAGCGCATACGACACGATACAATAAAACATAGATACTTTACAATTATAAAATAAATACATACACAGCAGCACAAGTCATTATGCTGAAACGAAAGATTAGATTTATGTTGACATCAATCTCCAAGTGAAATAATCAATATTTTCAACAAGTGCAATGAAAATACGTGCATATAATTTTATTGACAATATAACATTGTTGGTCCAACTCTCGTCTTTCCCATTCGCAAATAAATAGATTTAAAAAACAGAAGAATAAAGTGCCTACTCGAGTCTTTGCCCGCCATTGTACAAATACACACTTATTAAATAACAATTTAATAAATACAACTACAAATTAACACGAGAATATACATTTCGAAAAATAACATCTTCTAGAAAAAAGAAGGAATAGAGTAGAAAAACAAACTGGAATTGTTGCAGTACATGTCCGATAGGCTATCGTCATGTGAAACCCTCAGGCTCACGTTGTGTGGAGTTAAGTAGATTCTCAAATATTTTTAAGGCTTCCTGGAGTTCCTCTGTTGTCAAGCCGCTCAGTTCGGGAAACAATCTCCTCCTCGCCCGACCCACCTCCCATCGGCTGTGGCCCGGGGCGGTATGGATACCCCGGAGCCTCAACTGCAGCCAGTCGCGGCGCTCCTGCACCTGTCTGCGTTCCCCGAGGTTGTGCATGAGCTGGACCTCACTCACTGTCCGTTTACTAGACAACATGTATGTTGTATTTTTAGTACTGGTCGTACATTTAGAAAGAATGGCAGTTTTAAAGCGACTGCCGTTTGATTTTTTTACACCGTATGAGGGGTTTTACCTGAGAGGGCGCCCCCCTGTCACAATGAAGAGGTGCAAAATGCACAGAGACATAAAGAGGACTTGACATTGAAAACTTCTCATGATGAACTCACTTGATAACCTGTGGAAAAGATAATGTCACAAATCACCATACATCAACTCCAATTTACTGTATTAGAAAACATGTCTTTGTTTCTTAAATATTGAGGGTGACTCACTATATAGTTCTAAAATATATTTATGGGTGAAAAGTTGACACGTATAGGTCTATTGTGAATTCCAGTTTATTAGACAGAATTAGTTCAACATACCTGCTGTGGCCTATCCTGAGTCTTAAACGTATCAATCAAGTACCATCATAGTTCAATTGTACTTGGTTTGATGGCGTCTATCAATGATGATATAAGCACTGCACTGGAGTTCCTTTTATAGCCAGTTGGGCCAGCCATTGATGACTTGCCGTCATTAGCGCTGATGATGTCACACCACTGGTGGTGGCTGGAGAAGAATGACAACACCTCCTTTTCGCTTTGGGCTTTCACCATCCTCATACCAAACCAAAATACCTAAACACACACACACAGCCACACACACATCAAAGATACCAACTCTTTGGGACCAAAATTCCAATCCTTTATCGAAATGCATGCATTTCACAGACAAACATCCAACTGAGTCCTTCTGAAAAGACAATTTGTGGTGATTTTCATGGCGCAAAGTATGAATGCATTTTTTTTTTGTTTGTCATCAAACAAAGCCTTAAAGAAACTTCAGCACTAATGTTGAAAGTGCTTCCTTTTCTTCCACGTGGACTTGCCATTTCAATTTGTTCACACCTGACCTTTTCATCTAACTCTTAACCTTCCACAAAACAATAGTTGCCACATGTGGATGGATTTATTACTGCCTCTGACCATTAGCAAGTCTCCTTGGTTACATTGAGTCCTTACTCAAGAATTAACATTGTTTGAAGAGTTTGCGTCCCAAAAAGGAGCTTTTACACTGATCTGACGTCAGAGGAAAATGTCCTGAATGAAAGAGTATGTAGATGTTTGCTGGTGGCGTCAGTGGGTATTCCTGTGGATCGTCACTCTCTTTGTTAGTAATGTGTGTGTGTGTGTGTGTGTGTGTGTGTGTGTGTGTGTGTGTGAGTGAGGGAGCGGGGGAGGGGGGCAAGGACATATTGTGGAACCAATTGAGATACTTTCAGCTCTTGTTGAACAGCACAAATATCATAAGTTATTTTCACATTTACCTCAAATCCATCATATTCCCAATTCCAATTTATTGACAACGCAGATTTAACCAACAGTTATGGTCAAATTATCATCATGCTGTATTACAAATCCAAATTGCAAATGTCCCCAGTGTGGGACAAATAAAGGTTATCTAATCTTATCTTATCTTACCATCATTCCCTCGCCAAATAACATTAAAGTTATTTTTCTTTTTATTTGTTGAATAACAGAAGTTATATTGATGTCTATGATAAATAGTTAAATAAATGCTGTGAATATAGGATCCTGCTGTTGTTTTAAACAACCGTTGCATCTTTAAGCTGCAAAATATTTTCTTTTGTCATTTCAAGCTAAAAGACATCAAATAAATAATCACTCCAAATCTGGCCAGGGAATGAGAAGTCTTGGTCTTAACTTTACAAACTCTGTGTGTACAAATACGTGGCAGTAAATTCCCAGACCAATCAACGTTGCCATGGTAGAACAGAGAAACAATTCCACAGCTGTCAATGTCGTTGCTGTTTGTTGAATGTGTTAGAAATAGAAATTCAATGGTGAATGTAAAGATAGCCGCACAAGTCAGTGTGTAATGGAAAAACAATATTTTCATTCAGGGTATGAACGAAACATTACAAACCACTGTAAATCGTACATTTTATTTGCTGCTTTTTTTTTGCGGGGGATAAAACAAGATAAGATAAGTTAAGATAAGATAAGATAAGAAAACCTTTATTCGTCTCACAATAGAGAAATTCACAATTTACAGCGGCAAAATTTGGAGGGAAGAAAGTAGAAAAACATGAAGGGGGGTGAGTGGCTCCATTTTATTTACCAACTTGAGCATCTGTCAATTGGGATTTTGTGCTAAACTGTCTTACTGCCCTCAGTTTTCAGCAAGCATCTCAAGGATGACAGATGTATACATAAATTTTTTTAAAAGAAATGAGGGAAGCCCCCCCACAACGTATTTTGCTCATATACATATATTAGGTAACCACCAGGGTATGGGTTTTCTAAATTTAGTTGGAGCTGTGAATGGCAATGCCATGAGACGAAGGCTTTCTTGACACGTAACCCCTATATCTGTTTTTTTAGATTATATCAATCATAATAAAAGGATCTTTCAATTACTTGGTGAATTGGAAAATGAAAAATCCCACTTTGTTCATCATTCTGGCATACAAGTATGAGGAAAACGGTACTGGTAATTGAAGAAATTATCGAATATAGAAACAAATTATATATTCATGTTGATGGTGTTTTCAAACATTGACCTCGTGAGTTTCTTACATTTAAAGTTTTTTTTGAAAGTCTTTTTGACATGTGTGTATTGCCAGTTGCTTTGATTAATTAAGGTTCCGCCAGTGCTTTATTCACGCTTCTTGATTTTGCTATAAAGTGAGTGGTCAATGATTAAAGTGTTTATATAGCAACCTTTCAAGGTTTATGGTGAACGTGGGCCTTGAAAAAAGGTTGACCTCCATTTGCCTTCCTGTGATATTATTACAGACCACAGTGTCGGCCTGTTTGCATGACACACGCTAAACATTTTGACCCCTGGCCTGAGCTTGGGATTCAGAACTTTGCCGCTCTCATTACCTCATGCTGCCTCAATGAGTGGTATGTAGAAGCAACAAGGTGTGTGGGAATTTAACATGGGTTGCCGCAGTCAGGGAGGTGGGGTGGGGGATATCCCACAGCGGCACAAAAACGGCAACTCTACCAGGAGGGCAACGGATACAAATGGGGCCTGGTAAACACAATTATTTATTGAATTAGTGAAGCAATCAACGGTGTAATCGCTAATATCTTGGGACATCACCATCAACCTAGCGTTCGCAGCCATCCAAGTCAAGTGCATCATTTAGCCAGTAGCGGAGTAGGCTCTTGGCAGCTGCTCCAAAGTATGATAGGCAGAGTAATATTTGCATACATAATTCCAATACAACTAGAATTTTTGTCAGACAATTTCATAATTATATCATGACTTCATTCAGGACTGATGCAAACCAGTCAGAACATAACAATGAAACCTACAGCAAAAAAAGAAAGCAAGATGAAAAACTAAATGTCAGTTTACAACTTGCCAAACACAGATTAAAATTTTTGGACATTTGACCGAAAAGTGCTCAGCAACAAGTCTATGAAGTTAGAAGGAAAGTATAGTTGTACATAAATAGGGGAACTTCTATTTTAGGTGATGTGTTTGACTTTTATAGCAGATGACAAGATGTTCTTGGACGGGTGCCAGGGAAGATCAATAACACTGAACAGATGCTGCCCATCTCATATAAGTCAAGTGGAAGGAATGTGTAGTTGCACTCATGTCTAAATGATGATTGAGTGTGTGCACTGCTCAGAGAATCAATTCCAGATGTTTACCGGTACCAATATGTAAATACAGTAGTTTAAACATTACATTATTGTACATATACACAATTGTCTTTGTAGTATATTCAATTGAACATAGGTTGAAAAGGATTTGCAAAGCATTGTATTTTGTTTTTAAATTTTACACAGCGTCCCAACTTCAGTGGAATTGAAGTTTGTGAAAGAAGCTTCTACTTTTCACTTCAGGTTAGGAACCACATGCTCTCAATGTCTTTCCTTCCCCTTCTGGATTACGATGATTTACTCTACATTAGAGGGTGACATGATGGTAGGTGGTCTGCTCATTTTAAATGTTAGTCATTGTACATTCCATTGCCATGATGATCATCTGACCTTTTGTACTTGATTTTCATAGCATGACTAGAGTAGCTCAACTGCAATGGGGGAAAATTGGTCACATTTTCATATCTGTATACCCAATTAGAGTCTGCATTAGTATTTCTCTTTTTCTCTCTGACACACTAATAGAAATCCTTAAACTGTGAATGGTACTAGATACATTAGTGAGCAGCATACTATAAGTCAATTTGCATTTCAACACATCACATATAAAAATGTACTATATGCATCTCTCACAAGATATTAAAACTGACGATGAGTGCAGTGAGTGACTCTTGTGAATGGCAGGATTTACCATACAAGGTGAAGGGTCACATTTAATGGTGAGTGAGCTCATGTGCATCACAGGCTGCAGGGGGTTGAATCACTCCTACTTTTCCTGGAACTGCACTGTCTTCTCCTTCCTCCAAAGGCAACCCACTGTTGTTTCACTTGACACCAGACACAATGTAAGACCATTGCCACAGGCTAAAAACCTCACCTTGGCAGGCACATAGTTTTGGAATTTACAGAAGACTGATTTTTTTTTATTGTAATTCTTTTGATTTAGAAATTTTTTTCAAACATCAACTAATTTTTAAAAATCCAATCTTGAGAGGAGAACGTGTCAGTGTTGAAATACACAATTAATGAAGTAGACATTTGAGTATTTGCAATGAATCTCCTGTTAAATTCCAGGCATTTAATGGGAAAGTCTTCCCAGTGTTCCCAGGCAAACACACAGTTGATTAAGTCATTCACTATGTATTTAAGTACATACCTGTACCTCGGGGTGTCTATGAACAAGAGATGCAGTTGGACCACACCTTTCTGTCGTTATGATTTTTCTCATCCACTGTTCCATCCTAATTAGCACTATGCTCCAACATGACCGTCAAAAGCTACGTTTGACAAATTGTTTAATGTACTTACAATGTGGCCAATTACAAACAAAAACTGCATACTTAAGAGAGAGAGAGTCAGATAGAATGAAAGAGAGAGAAAGAGACAGAGAGAGACAGAGCGAGAGAGAGAGATGCATGTGAGGGGCCCATCACTAACCTACCAGCCTGTACTGTCTTTGGTATGCCATTCCTACATTCTTGGAGTGCACAAGACGGGCAACCAAAAAACAAAAAAAAAAAAAACCCACACTAACAAAGCACAACACTCTTTTGAGCTTGGCCTATCCAGTACTTACATTGAAGAATGTCTTTGCGACACTGTCTTCAATGTCTCTCTCCAAATATTGTCTCTCTTGACTTGACTCTTTGTCACTCGTTCCTGTCAAAGACACCAACTGCCCGATTCTCAACGACGCAAGCCGACAGTTGCCTTCGTTCGGCTCACAAATCAAGCCTGAGAAGTGACACCAGACACACTGCAATGAATACACCTGATGTCAGTGGCCACTGGTGGAATGTTCGCCATGGGAGACGCTATTAATAAATAAACAAATAAACACACACACACACACACACACACACACACACACACACACACACACACACACACACACACACACACATCTCTCCAAATTCTACACACAACATCCCACAATGACAATGTGCATTTTTTTTTTTG